CCGCCTCCTGCCACTACACAACTGTTCCCTTGGCTTGTTATTGACAGCTGATGCATCTGCCCTCTAATGGATGACTGTTCCCTCCCTTGGCAGAGAGATACCAGGCATTACACTACTGTATAAAAGCGTTCTAAATATTCTAAGTATTTAGTCTTGTGTCCCTACTACACAGCTGTCTAATATGATATTTAACAGAACAAGAAAATTTTAAAGTTTGGGGTGGTTTTTTTTTATGCTAACAGATATTTGCTTCTGAGAAGATGGAATGGACCAAACATTACGCTTGTAAGAAACTGTTAGCATTATTGACGTGTTATGATATGATCCAGAGAAAATCTGGATACATTGATTCAAAACAACTGCAGGCAACACGGTAATGTAGCTTGATTTCTTGAACTTAATATGTTTATTTCTGCTGCTGGATGAAAATCATGGGCGTTTTCCTTTTTTACAGAAATACAGTGGTTTTCTTCCATCTCTGTTTCAAGCTTTGTGCTCATTTTGAGTAGAGGTTAAAATTTAGACCAGTACACCAGTTCCTATACTACTGCTGCAGAAAGTAATACAGATATCAGTTTCCTTTCATTCTAAGTGACAATGCCTGCTTTTCCTATGCTTACTTTCTATTCTGTTTCCTTGGATCTGCACATGAGATTTAGCATTACAGGTTTGATCCTCTGCTCAAGTTCTTAGCAGAAGTTTAATTGAGTTCTGTGATTCAAAGTAAGAGCCTAGACTTAGAAATGAGCATCTGCAGATGCAGTCATGGTCTCTGTTTCCTTATCAGACTACCGTCTGATGAAATCATTAGGTTATGGTTCTGTTCTACGACCCCTTCTTCTCAACACTTTCATTCAGGACTGCTGCATTTGGAAATATAAAAATGGCCAAGTATCCTGTTACTAAAAATAGATCTGCAGGGAAAAAAATCAAGATAAGCATGTAACTACTTTCCCCCATAATATTTTCCCACCATCCATGTTTCTGTTACTCAGGGTGTTTTCTGAGACAGAATTAGCACCTTCTTATTTTATCAATGTATTTTTTTTTAAATGATCTAATCTTTTTTTTATACTTGCACAAACTTTTAGAGTCTACAGTGTCCGTTAGCAAACTGAACTTAACTTCACTGTGTGAAGTCACACTTCTTAGTATCTGATGGTTTCATTTCCCAAATGAAACCCAAATTCTCCCTCTCCCCCCGCCAAATTCTTGTATTGCAAGAAGGTCAGTAGTTTTTTCATGTTCTTTGATGCTATTCAAGATTTTATAGACCTTAAATTTTGGGGAACAGAAGGGTAGTCAGTAGCAATGTGATAGTATTTCTTCTGAGTTGATTTGTCATATTCAGTTAAATTACTACTTGCAGAGAAGCTGTTCTGTTCATTGTTAACTTTCAAAAGAGTGGAGAGACTGGTTGGGAGCTGGTTTTTAAATGGGTTGGCTAGATGAATTACCCTTATTTACCTTGATGAATGAATTAATAGATATTCTCTGTTTATAACACTTTCTAGTTTTTCAGGAGTTTAAAAGGTAAATCATGTGTGCTCTAGAAGATTTATTTTGCTAACAAGTGTTTAAAAATGCAGTAATGATTCATCAGGAGCCTCTTCACACGTAGGAGTCTATTAAACTGGGATGTAGATAATGTTTTTTGAAAAATCTCATAAAGACTGACTGCCCCTGCTCAGTTCATGTTTTATCTTCCTTCATCTTCATGCAAAGGATATTAATGACCCTGTCTGGTCATTCAGAAAATTACTGTCTATGGCAATTCTCTGTGGCATTAGTTGAAGATACCAAACTGGTGTTTGTAGGAGTCTGTGTTAAGGTTGCCTGTCACTGAATAGTTTTTTGATTTCTTGTTAAGCTCCTCTGAGCTCTATCATTAAAAAAAATTAAAATGTTTCAATACTCATATCTAGATACAAAATTTTACTGTGTATCTTACACAAAGAAGTAGTGTATTTTTTAAAAGGTGTATTAATTTCACTATTCCAAGAATATTTTTTCCTCAGAATAATTACAGATTAGAGTATTGAAATATTTTTAGATAACTTGTATTTTTCATTTCTTGTTTAAATAAAATCATTTAATGGGTTGCTTCTTGTTCTTACAGGATAGTCAAGACACGTGTTAAAAATGGAATTCCTTGTTTTGAAATTGAGTGGCAAAAACCAGGTTGGTCTGGTTTCTGTGTACATTATGGAACAAAATGGTTCACATAAAAAGAAAAAAGCATGCTCTAAAGAGAGAAAGAGTTTGACAACATTATGAGGCAATGAAATATGGGTGAGATTGGAAACTGTTCTATGAAAACAATAGAAAATGTGCATCAAATTTCACATACCCTGAAAGTAAAAGCAATGCTTCCCCCCTCAAAAAA